TTCTCTCCAATATGTGTTCTTTCATCACTTTGTAGAACACTGTTTTGATAAAAATCTTCACTATATTCCTTATATTCATAGGGTTTCTCTCCAGTATGTGTTTTTTCATCACTTTGAAGAACACTGTTTTGATCAAACGCTTCACCATATTCCTTCCATTCATAGGGTTTCTCTCCAGTATGTGTTCTTTCATCACTTTGAAAAACACTGTTTTGATCAAAAGCTTCACCATATTCCTTATATTCATAGGGTCTATCTCCAGTATGTGTTCTTTTATCACTTTGAAGAACACTGTTTTGATCAAAGGCTTCACCATATTCCTTACATTCATAGGGTTTCTCTCCAGTAAGTGTTCTTTCATCACTTTGAAGAACACTATTTTGATCAAAGGCTTCACCATATTCCTTCCATTCATAGGGTTTCTCACCAGTATGTGTTATTTCATCACTTTGAAGAACACTATTTTGATCAAAAGCTTCACCATATTTCTTACATTCATAGGGTTTCTGTCCAGTATGTGTTCTTTCATGACTTTGAAGAACACTGTTTTGATCAAAAGCTTTACCATATTCTTTACAATCATAGGGTTCCTCTCCAGTATGTGTTCTTTTGTCACTTTGAAGAACACTGCTTGGATCTAAAGCTTTAACATATTCTTTACATTCATAGGGTTTCTCTCCTGTATGTGTTCTTTCGTCACTTTGAAGAACACTGTTTTGAGCTTTACCATATTCCTTACAATCATAGGGTTTCTCTCCAGTGTTTGTTATTTCATTCCTGCAAGGATAATTTGATAATGTAAAAGCTTTACCACAGTCAATACATGGTTACATAATTATTTCTGTATGAATAAATTTTAGAATTTGGTGTACATGTAAAGAGGAATCAAATCATATGTCCTTGTCTCTTTGCTTACACTTTTTCTATTCCCCTTAATTTAGGAATATTTTGCAATTAAATGCCTGTGATGGTAAGAGCCTTCATTACATGACTCACTTTTATGTAATCTTTTTTCTAAATGAGATTTTTCACATAGATAAAAAGAATTCGAGGAATTCAGACCATTATCACACTTATTTCATAAATACATTGCCCTATACTGGGAATCCTACTACATTTGCAAAATGAACCAGGACAGACAGAAGATTACACATTCTCACGACTCATAGGGCTTTTCTTCAGTTTGTTTGCTGATGTATTCTCTTTTAAGCTGGGAAATCAATTACCTGTAAACTTGAATCACATTTAGCAAGTCTACTCAACATGGGACTACTACAGAAATTTTATTTATTCTGAAATTGAAACGGACACATTGTTTCTTTCCATATCCCTATGTTCTTATGGCTTGTATACAGAGTGACATGATATACCTAGTAAATGAAGAATAACAAATAAAGCACATGCATAATATCTCCACACAGCTTGACATTTTGTTCCTCACAGACATGTGGTATAGACCTTAAGCATTCTGCACAACAACCCCCCCCCCTTAACTCTTTATTCTAACAACCCAACTCACTAAACTTAGCAGATTCAGAACAAGTAGAGAGTAACACTGGCTTTACTATGGACTACTTGTTTGTTAGAAGGTTTTAAACATACACTTAAAACAAATTCAATGTGTAGACCTTTGGTAATATGAGTGATATGAAACTAAATGAAGCGGCAATTCCACAGCATAGTTCTGATAGATCTGTTATTTAATTACTGATTTCTGTTAAGGTATTGATTCATTTTTTTTCCTTCTACAAAGAATGATCTACCAACACAATTCAATTAATGGCCTTTTGGGTGTATGGATTGTGAACATTTAATGGCCATGAATGTATTTTGAGCTGTGATTACTTACAATGCTGCATTTCTTTAAAACTTCAAGATACATTAAAATATATCCAGGGGCACATTTGTATCAGCTGGAACATGAAAATTACCTTTCATGACTTTGAAAACTTTGACAATGTTCTTCAAATTCAAGATCTTCCCAAGTGTATCCTAAAATATAGGATGAGGAAATGTATGAAATATTACAGGAAACTGGGCAAAATTTGAGTTTCTATCTTCAGTGATCATTAAAACCATGCCTGATTTAGTCACCTCACTCTTCCTTATTTATAATCAGAATTACCAAAGTACATCAATAACTGAGGACAGTTGTTGCCTTAATTTAAAATGTGAAGGAAATTTTACCTAGACCAGTGAGGTTCATATATGTCTCCAGCATATCATCTTCGATGAGATATTCCTGTGAAGGATCCAGGAATGCCCACTCCTCTTCAGTGAAATTGACACGCACATCATATTTCATGGCATCCTAAAATATGCCATACATAAATATGCTATACATATGAATAGAACAAAAAGCATGATACTGACAACATTGTAAATGCATGCTTCTTTGACAATGTAGTCATGTAATTCTGGTGCTTCCCGCACTTACTCTATAACCCAGACATTACAATATATCCATCAACTTATTTTAGAATGAAACACAATAGGAGGTTTACCTATATTATTTCTGAATACTTTGAATAGGGTATTAGCTTGCAAGAGAAATGCCTATTAACAAACATAGAGAGACAATCAAACATATCAGCAGTACTGAGTACCTATCAGAGAAATTGTATGAATAATTACTAACTACAAAAATGATCAGTAAGCTTGGTACATTGGCTCATGCCTTTAATCCCAGAACTGAGAATGCAGAGGCAGATATATATGCTTTTGAGTTGAAAGTTAGCCTAGTCTATGCAATCATTTCCTGGACAGCAAAAAGTAAATATTAAGAACCTGTCTGCACTGCAAACATCAATGAAATGTACAACAAAGATAGAATACACTCAGAGACTTTTTTTCTGAACTTGCTTCAAAGAATTAGGCATTCACTCCAGTTCTGTATTCATCTTCCAGAAACCTGCATTGCAGTAATTTAAACTGTACTTTAATAGATCTTACTAAAATGAACTGTTTATCTAAACAGTTACAAATATGCAGATGATAACCTTTGCAATAACCCTATTGATTATAAACAATCAACAGAGGGCAGGACAAATGACTCAGAAATTAAGAGCTCTTGCTAGTCTTGTATATAGTTGGGTTCAATTGTCAGTACTTAAATGGGGGATCACACACCTGTTCATTATTCCAAGCTCATGAATTCTAAGGCCTTCTTTTGACTACTGTGAGGGTCAGACACATGTGTGGTACATATCAGTGTATACAGTAAAGAGAATCATATTTATTAAAAAATCAAAATAAACACAACAAGCAGAAAGAATGTCACACATCTGTAATTTAATGACTGAGAAGTCCCAGGCACTATTACTGTCAGGAATACTTATGGTGATATTTATTTGTACTGAAATGTAATTTTATTTGTAGATAAGTAAATAAAATTGCCTGGGGATCAGAGGTTATAGCCGTTAAGCAGAAATCCGGCATTGGTGGCACATGCCCTTAATCCAGTCACATGGCAGGCAGAGTCTGTGTTCAAGGACATAGTCGGCATGGTCATACACAACTTTAAACTAAGTACCAACCATAGAGACCTGGAGGTCTGTATAGACAGGCAGTGACAAGAAAGTCGTGTGGTTGGATCTAGAGCCAATGAGAAGGCAGAAGAGAAACACAATAAAAATACAGACACACAACAAGTAGGTCTCTCTCTCTCTCTGGTGTAGGACGGCAGCAGCAGGAGTGGTGAGGAGCTGGTCTTAACTCTTGGCTACTGCTCTCTGATCTCTGCACTTTTAACTCTGCATTTGGCTCTGTTTCTTATTTAATAAGACCGTTTAGAATTACATCTCCAAATACTGCCATTCTGGGAAAAAGAATGATATCCTCTGGCAAATTTCAAAATTCAAGCTGGGAGTAAAGTCTCAGCATATGCTTGACATATACAAAAATGTATACAGTAGACCCATCACCAAATATATATATATATATATATATATATATATATATATATATATATATATATATATATTATGGGATGATGGCCAAACTTTAATCTCAGCAAGTTGGAGAAAGAGTCAGATGAATCTCTGAGTTCTAGGCCAGCCTTGTGAAGAGAAATATGTTTAGGACAGCCAGGGCTACCCAGACAAAGTTTGTCACCAGAAACAAACAACAGCAAAATTTAAAAAAATCAGGATAGTAAAAATGGCTTACACTGAATACTAATTTGTTCAGTTGTATCTTATGTGATTTTGTAATACCATAAATAATGGTGGTGAAGCCATGACAGCACAAGAAGGAAGTTTCCTGATTCATTTCATACACAACACAGTAGAAACATAGAAAAGGAAATGAGTTGAGACTATAAAGACACATATCATACCCCCCAATCAGATATTTTATCTAGAGATGTCCCTTCTACTTAAGGTTCCACAAACACCCCCCCCCCCAAAAAAAAAGCTGCCAAGGAGAGACACATGTTGAAATACCTCATACTATCTGGGAGCTTTTCATTCAGTTGACTAGATTCTGACCTAGGTTACTATAGGCTCAGGATTATCCATGAAGGACATGCATTTAGTCACCTCAATGATACTCATTGCCTGCAACAGCCCCTACACTGTTCAAATGTCCAAAGTCTCTTATGACACTCAAGAAAAATTCTTGACTGTGTCATCTTATCAAATCAGAAAACAATTTAAATCTTTCCAACATATAAATGGCACAGAAAACCCATTCCCATTCCACAGGAGAGGAACTGAGACACAGTGAGGAAAAACTGTAAAAATGGAAGAATGAAACCGAGCAGGGCAACCATCAAATCTAGTAGTACTGAGTCAGACACATGGGGCTCCATGTTCAAAGGGCTTAGAGGGCTCTCATCCCACAACTTCCCATACAAATCTCTCTTTGGTTACTTCCACTCCATATATGCAACTGTCCATGAAAGATGTCTCATAGCATAACTATCTGAACATCCATGGTCTCAAAATGCAACCCAGACTTCATCCTCATAGTGTCCTGCAATGAACTCTCATAGTCTTCTCACTGGGGCTCTTACCATACCAAACACAGATGCCTACAAAACAGTGCTGACCTGAAAACCTAGACTAACAATGTATGATCTTAAATTTTACATCATTCTGGTTTCCAGAACCAGTTCAACATCAATGATTCCCCCAATTTGGCTTCTAAGTTCTGATGGCCCCTACCATGCTTGAATCATATGGAAGTTCCTTCCTGGGAGTGGGAATCACTTTGTCTAATCCCTCTCTTAACTGACAGCATAGAAGGATGGATTCTTACCCTTAGGGCAACTTGCTAGGCTTCCAATGCAGAGTAAAGTCCTTTTTTTCAGTGTTGATAATCCTCCTGAAAATTCCTGTCTCTGTTCAGCATTTGACTGTCATCTGAAAATGAATAGTCCTATTTTTCTCTACAACCCATAGACTTTTCATACATTTATGGTACACTTTTTGATTTTTTTCCACTGTAGTCCTGAATGAATCATAAGTAATAGGCATCAAAGAGAGTAAATATTCCACCTAAGAAATCAGCCCCATTTTTTTTTTAAATTCTGCCTTACTCAATTTTTTGGGGACATGGCATAATAAGAAAGAATAGTTGCCAAAATATCACACAAATAACCTCTTTCTTAATTCCCACTGAAATCTTTTGTCCTCTACCTCCACTGTTTGCAGTACCTTCAATAATACTTTATTCCAAGTACTACAAGAATAACCAATTAAGCTCTGTGTGCAGCTTCTCTCATCTAAATTTTGTTATCTTCAACATTCCTTCAAAAGTCATCATTGCCAGTCCACTGAATGACAAAAATCACTTTTGGTTTAGCACATTCTGTTGGAACTTGCTTTTTTCTTGATCTGATTCAATTCTCTAAACAAAAGCAACTCAGGTAAAGAATGTGTTTATTTGGTTCATTCGGCCAGATCACAATGCATTATTGTGATGGAGCTTAGGATAGAAATTCTATCTAGCAAATGAAGGAAAAAGCCATGAGGAATCTTCGTTTCCTGACTTTCTCTCTTACATGGTCATTGTTTCATGCTTGGTTTACTGTCTTATCCAGTGCAGACCAACTTTCTAACAAATATTGCACACTCAGTGGAAGGGCTATCACCCATCAATCATCAATCAACAAAATCTCTCAAAGACTTAGCATCCAGCCATGGGGCACATCCTCAACTGATGTTTACAAATGTGACTGTAGAATCTGAATTGTTGACATCTGGAAGTAATTAGGACACAAAGACTGTAATATAAGAGAAGATTTGACATACAAAAACCAATGTGTCAACTACATTAATAACTTAGATAACAAAAATGCAAATATTGATGATAATAGCAAATAGAAACACAGACATGCTAAAAAATGGAGAAATACTAGTTTCTAAAAGCAAGAAAAGCAAACTAAAATTTGTTTCTCCACAGAAAGTCACCAAACCAATAAATTAAAGGAACTCCTAACTTAATGGGTTAGTTTTCCAGAAAATAAAAATAAGTGAAGGTTCATCATTTTCCAGAGAAAAAAATGTAACTAGATTATAGCTAATAAAAATAATCACAGAACATAGATGGTACCACTGATAAAAGGAGACAGAAAGCAGACATACAAATATAATATTGTCACTTGAACAAGAAACATTACATTCTAATGAAAACCAAAATGAAAGAAAACACTGACCACCACTCATCCTGTTCACTCCAGTTATTTTCCCCAATAATAGAAAATTGGTTAGAAGGACTCTTCCAACAAAATTAGATAGATTTCCTTGAATTTCCTGATATTTCTACACTGTTGAAAATAGTTTTGGCTACTAAAATTATCTCATTCTCTTTTGATAAAGAAAAGGATATCTATTAGATCATTTAGAAACAATTTTCTTTCCTATGATTGAAGATTGAATGTAAGTCTGAATCAGAGTGAGAAAACAGAATATTTTCAAAACAAATGAAAGATAATAGTTTTTTAAATAAATATTGTATGACTTCTATTATATACCTAAAGCAACCTGATTTCCCGTAATTGTTTTATAAGTCATAAGGGCTTTTGAAAATGAATCTAGCAACATTTTATGTGTATATTTGTATGCATGAAAAAGCATATTTTCCCTGTGTATAGGTGACACAGCAAAGAACATATCAGATCCCTGGATCTGGGGATATCAGATAGTTATAAGTCTCCCAAATTGAGTGCTGATATCTGAAGTCCCCCAAGAAGAATATTGCTGAATGACGTGCACAGCCCACATAGTACTTTTTATCCAATAAACTAAAAGCGCTTCACAGATTAACCACAACAGAAACTTAAATAATAAAATGAATAAATTA